TTTGGTCCAAGTGCGCAGCGCCAAGCCAGTTCAGGCATCATTAGCTGTGATGTGTTAGAGAAACAGGGAGCTGTTCTTCCTCCTTCCCTGCTGTTGCCTGTGCAAGGTTCAGCAGAAGGGGCAGGGGCAGGCACTCAGCAGTTACTGAGGTGCCTGCATGGAAGTGTGATGCATTTTGCTGCTCAGGTGTTGGGAGCACAGCGAGATCAACGCTCTTGTTTTCTCTTGCAGTGGTCATACGGCTTCTACCTAATCCACCTTCAGGGGAAGCAGGGCTTCCAGTTCTTCTGCAAGACAGAAGAAATGAAGAGGAAGTGGATGGAGCAGTTTGAAATGGCAATGTGAGCATGAGTGGCTGCTCTAGCCCTGAGTGCAGTTCCCAGGTGTGGGGGAAAAGTGTCTTGGACCACCAGGTCACTGGAGACCAGCTCTGATAGCAAAACCTGTGATGGGGAAGCTCATGTGGACTTGCTGGATCGGTCCCTGTGCAAAGGGAACCTGAAACCATCTACTCTGAGCATCCACACCAAAGCATGGGTGGTGCATCTCTGAAATTGGATTTTATCTCTGAAACTGAGATTGGATATTAGCAAGAAATTCTTCCCTGTGGGGATGGTGAGGCCCTGGCACAGGTTGCCCAGAGAAGCTGTGTCTGCCCCGTCCCTGGAAGTGTTCAAGGCCAGGTTGGACGGGGCTTGGAGCAACCTGGGATAGTGGAAGGTGTCCCTGCCCGTGTCGGGGGGTTGGAATGAGATGGTCTTTAAGGTCCCTTCCAGCCCAAACCATTCTGTGGTTCTCTGAAATGACACCTTGCCGTGGTGCAGGGCCATGGGGGAAGTACCAGGCTGGCACTGGAGGAGGGTGGTGCTGCAGGACCTGATCCTGAGCAGAGCAGGGATCGGCCCCACGCCGACAGATCTGGGCTGATGATTGACTCGGGCAAGGGCCAAATCCGTGACTGTTGTCCCAGGGGAAGGTTGATGGGCAAAATCCTCCCTCTCAGTCAAGCCCTGAGTCTCCTTTCACATTTGATTTTGTATCTGTCCGTGTGGTGTCCAGGCTTTGACTGAAATGCAAACAACCACTCATGGGGACAGATTGATAACCCCTCGATCCTTTCCCTCAGGTCCAACATAAAGCCAGAGAAAGCCAATGCAAATCACCATAACTTTCAGATGTACACATTTGAAAAGACGACCAACTGCAAAGCCTGCAGGATGTTCCTGAGGTGAGCAACAACCTTCCAGCTGTTCTGCATTGGCATTGAAACATGGAAAGAAAACCTCAGAGCTGAGGCTGGATTAGGACTTTCTGACTTGTGTTTTTGTTTTTTTTTTTTGCACAGAGGAACCTTCTACCAGGGCTATCTTTGCCCCAAATGTGGAGCAGGTGCTCATAAGGAGTGCTTGGAGATCATTCCTCCCTGCAAGATGGGTGAGTTATTTCACATCATGAGCATCTTATGCTGCACATGAATTATCTGACAGATTTTCTGTATTAAGCACTAATGCTTGTTAATGTATAAAAAATATAAGTGTGCTCCCACCCACCTCCCAGGGCTGTAATTTACATTGGTTGGTGGTTTAAAAAACAAACAAACCAGCCAGAACCACCCAAAGCAAAGAGCTGCATCCCATGGATGTCAAGAGGATCACAGCAGCATTGTGTGCTGGGTGGGCATTTAAGAGAGATGAGTTCTTCATCAGAAGATATTGGATAATGAAATAGGAGGGTCTGCAGCAGGGATAACATTTCTGATGAGGAGAAACCTTGTCTCTGGATCCCACATATCCCATAGTATGGCAAAAATTTGTGTCCTTGCTCTAAACTGGGCAAAGCTGTGACTCAGCTCTGCCTGGGTCAGAGCCTTGGTCCTGCCTGGGGCAAGGGGCTGTCACAGGGTGGCTCCAGGTAGGTTTTGAGTGGAGAGGGGAGAGAGGAAGAAACAAAGTCACAGAGTATTGTGCAGGTGAGGAAATGTCCTTGTCCAGCTCCAATCCATCCCTGCATCTTGCCCGTCAAGAGCAGAGCGATGGCCTGAGTGACCCCAGCTCTGCTTTGGGCTTCCTCTGTCAGTTCACACAGTGATGGCTGGTTTACTGGAACTCACAGTGTCAAGAGAAACAGAAAATGGGGTTTGTTGCCTGTTAAATTAACCACCTATTCCACCCTTTGCTCTTGCAGGTTCTTCAGCAGACCAGGTAGGTTGTTTGATGTCCCTTTTCCTCATCCCCCTCTGCCTTAGGCAGAGCCTGTGTCCTTACCCAGTCTGGGCATGGGCAGCTTGTGGGAAAAGCAACCAAAGGCCTCAGAGGGGTAGGACTGGGGACCAGTGGCCTCTTTTCCAGCCTAAAACTGGCCCAGTTTGTGCAGCACTGCAGCCCTTGGGAGGTGCCAGCACCCAGCTGGGACAAGCACCATGGGCTGGGGGTTACCAGGGAGGTTTTGGGAGAGAGTTTCTCATCATGTTGTCTTCAGGTGGGTGCTCATAGAGAGAACTGAGACTGATGTGTCCTCACAGAGACTTTTTGCTCTTTCTTTGCAGGATTCACTGGGTGCTGGACCTGGTAAGTACAGTACTGTTTTACAGGAGGGCAGACAAAACATATCCTGGCAGGAAGACTTGTTGTTGAGGAGGAGCATCTTCTGCCGGCATGTCCAGTGTGCTCCAGGGATGTGCAGCTCCAGGCACTGCCCTCTCTGATGGGCCATCAGTCATGATGATTACTGCAATATTTTTTTATCTTCTTTGTTTAAAACTGGTCTGGACACAGCTCCAGGCCTGCCCTGCCCATGCTCTGGCTCAAAGGAGAAGAACAATTTGTTTTTGTGCTTTCTCTGATGGAAGGAAAGCCAAGCCTGGGGAAAAGAAACCTGAATCAAATTGGTGGTTAAAACAAAAAAGCAAGCAGAGAGTGCTCTCGCTGGGTGGGGAGAGGCAGAGGTGGGGAAGTGCTTTGAAAATAAACACTGTGGTTTGAGTGCAGTTGGGGGAGCTTATTTAATGTGCAGTTGTTGGCGAGACAACTGGACTTTGACTGGGAGCTTCAGGGGCGTTTGAGTCCCAGGTTCAGCAGACACTCAGTGGAAGCTGAGTGTTCTCTGGGCCCTTTTGCAATCGTGGGTGTTGCACTCCTGGCCCCTTCTGCAATCCTGGTGTCACCACTGAGCCTGCTGGGTTTTGGTGCCAGCCAGGCTTTGCCTCAGCAAGGCTCAAATCCAGGTGCAGGGCTGGGAGCTGGAGCTTTGGCCGGGCTTGGTCCTTCACGGGTTTATTTTTGCTCTGGGAACTCAGTCATCCGTGTAACTGCAGGAGCCAAGAACATTCACTGTGGACACTGTTCTTTTCTGCTTTCATGCTTTCTGCCCCCCAAATCCTGCCTGCTGGTGCCTTTGGGTTTGTGGTTCATAGGATAAGGAACGAGGCTTCAGGAGGGGGAGTTTTGTTTTGGGTTTTTTTGAGCAGGGACAAGGTGATGAAACTGTTTTCCTTTTCTCCCAGGTCCTAAAATGGTGGCAGTTCAGAATTACCATGGAAACCCAGCCCCTCCTGGGAAGCCGGTGCTGACCTTTCAAATTGGGGATGTGATCGAGCTGCTGAGGGGGGACCCAGACTCACCATGGTGGGAGGTGAGAACGATTCCCCTCGGGAAACTCCTGGAAGGTTTTAAACCAGTGTCTTCTGCGTTGTCCCTTTTATTTGTGGGCAGGGCTGTGCTGGGGGTTTGGAGGCAGTCTGGAGCCTGTCCCCCTCCCTGCACAGTGACACCAGTGCTCCCCATGCCCTCCCCAGTCTGATTCCAGCTTGTCTCTGCAGGGGCGGCTGCTGCAGACGAAGAAGTCGGGTTATTTTCCCAGCTCGTCAGTAAAGCCCTGCCCTGTGGATGCCAGGGTAAGTGCCAAAGAGGAGATGGAGCCCAGGGTGGGTGGGAGTGCTCCAGTGGTCCCTGTTGCTCTTCTCAGCATTCTGCTTGAGACCTTGGTCCTCCCAGTGAGCCCCTGGACCTTCAATGAGGCCTCTACTGTGGCTGAATCAGCAAGGAGGTGGTTCCCTCATCCCATGATTGCAGATGTCTGAATTTTATCAGTCTCAGCCCCAAGGTTGGGGTTGGTGTGACCAGGTCCAGACTCTGTTCCTCCTCTGCAGGGCTGACTTGGGAGCAGAGGGCTTGAAATCAGGCACAGTGCAGGAAAACTGTGTTTGATTTATTTTAATTGTTTTTAGCTGTTTTCTGTAATGTTGTCAGCTGCTTCCCAATTAAAAACCACTCAGGTAAATGAACAAATACAGCCTGCTCATCCCAGCTGGGAGGCTGAGAGGGAAATGTTCAGCTACAACACTGCCCTCCGCCGCCCAAGCCGATAATCCAGGAACGGCTTGGCAGAAGGAACCCTCCCGTGGAGAGGAGCGTCTCACACGTGATCCACAGCCTGATGAGCTGCTGGCTCTTCACTAATGAGCAATTCTGTCTTTGCAGCCTCCCAACAGCCGACCGCCCTCGCGGGAGATCGACTACACAGCGTACCCGTGGTGAGTCGACCCTCCTCTGGCTATAACCATAAACCAGCATTGCTTTTTGGTTGTTACTCTGTCAGGAATCCACTCCAGTAAGGAATTCTGAATGCAGACTAGCAGTGACTTGCATCCTGCTTTCCCTGTGGCCCCAGGGCAGCTGCCACACTGGTGTTTGGGGTTGAAACCTGGCGCAGCCCTGGCAGTATCCATGATGATTTCTTCATTGATGGAGACAGTCAGAGGCTAAAAGAGATGCTGGTTTCTCTTCCCATTTTCTGTGCCCAGAGAATCATTTTGAGAAGAAGGAGGCAATTCCTGCCTTGGCTGGAGATGCTGTGCTTGGCTTGCCTGCTGCTCCTTCCCTCTAACTCCAGCCAGGTTTACAAATTCATGGATATAAATTATCCACTTGCTGAAGCCTCATTAACCTGGGGACTATTTCTCAATTAGTGAAGAGGTCACACTTAGCAGTGCTCACCCACAGTTCAGTGGCCCAACAGCTTCTTTTATATCTCGGGGCACTTTCCTTCCTCCTCACGATGACTTGGATGAGACCTGTTCCTCTACCTACCTTCCCAACCTTCATGCCTTCCAAAGATGATGTATCTTTTTATCCAAAACATGCCTGTTTGAAGATACGCATTCATTTCAGTTAATTAAATTAATCAGTTAACCTCTGGGCTCAGGTTTGCAGGGAACATGGAGCGGCAGCAGACGGACAACCTGCTCAAGTCCCACGTCAGCGGCACCTACTTGATCCGGGAGCGGCCGGCCGAGGCCGAGCGCTTTGCCATCAGTATTAAGTGAGTGATAACTTCACTTAGTAATGGAATAATTTAGTATTTCTCACTCCTGGAGGACAAGCTGGGGCTGGAACACGCAGGTGTGTTTTCTTGAGTGCCTTTGCTGCCGTTGGCAGGTTCAACGAGGAGGTGAAGCACATCAAGGTGGTGGAGAAGGACAACTGGATTCACATCACAGAAGCCAAGAAGTTCGAAAGCTTGCTGGTAGGTTTTTGTCTCCCCTTGTAGCATGTGCACTGTCCCTGCCAGTCACACAGAGGATGGCAGAGACAGCCAGGTGCCTCTCCATCCTTCCCAGGAGCTGGTCGAGTACTACCAGAGCCACTCGCTGAAGGAGAGCTTCAAGCAGCTGGACACGACGCTGAAATACCCCTACAAATCTCGGGAGCGCTCTACCTCCAGGACCTTCACCCGCTCCCCAGGTAAAACCCAGTTTGGGGGCAGTTAAACTTGTCATGGAAAACCTCACCCTTCCAGCCAGGTGTAGGAGCACTGGATGAAGGGATTTATAGCTTTGCTGTAGCGCTTGAATTCCTCAGTTCGCAGATAAATTGTCTGCTTGGCTGGTGGCATTTTGAGGACGAGTCTCACAGGAGGTGGTGGATCAGGGGGATCTGAGGGAGAGTTTTTGCTGGGGGAGGCTGGTTCCCCTCCTGTGGTTTTGGACCCTGTGCTCAGGGGTGGTTCACCCATCCCTTGGTCCTTCCAGAGCATCCCATCCACCTGCAGGTCGGGAGCAGGGATGTGATGGTCACTTAGTGGGATTTACCGTGTCTTGCCCCACCTGCGTGAGTTTCTTGTGCGTGTGTTTTAACGGATCCAGCTCCAGTGTGACTTGTGGTTTGAATCCCAGTGGGACTCCTTTAATGGAGATCACGGGTCAAATGGTAAGTCTGTGTCTAAAATAAAAAGAAAGAAAAAAAATGAAAACAAATGGAAAGCAAAAATTCAACAGGGCAAAAAGATGTGTTTTGTCCAAAAGCCTGAATGCAGAACTAACTACTTTGTGGGGAAAAAAATTAATTAAAAAAAATTTTCTCCGTCGTATATTTAAAAAAGAATATCAAAGGAAGATAGATTTTAAAAGTTGATTAAATATATCCTTTTGTATGAAATACAACCATAGGATGAATTTTGAGCCCCTACACTGGCTGTGGGGCTGTGGCCAGACCTTCTGTCAGCTGTCCCAGCTCCAAGCCCCTGCACAAGACCCTCTGCATGCTTTACCCTGTATTTCTCCATCAGCTTTTAAAGCACTGTGCATTATAATATTTTTTTTTAATTTCCTTTTTAATGCGTGTTCTGCCTCTTTCTGTTTCTCTCTAACCTCTTTGCAGCCTCCTGCGCTTCCTACAACTTTTCTTTTCTCAGTCCTCAGGGCCTCAACTTTTCTTCTCAGAGCTCCTCCAGTCCCTTCTGGTCAGGTACCAGTGCCTCTCCCTGCTGGAGAGACCTGCCACCATCCCCAGCTTGAAAGCCATCACCAGTGGGACCTGTGGGGTCCCTGCTGTCCCTCCATCCCCACAGGCAGTTCAGGGGGTCCCCAGTGCTGCCCTGGGGCACAGCCTGGAAATAATTTAATTAACCACGGCTTGGCTGGGAGCAGAACACACTCCACTCTCTCCCCAAAATCAAGGCAGGGAAAAGATGTTGCTATTTGAGAAAAGGGGCTGAAATTAATTAAAAAGTGAATCCAGCACTTTGGGATCTCGTGATGTACTTCAAGCTCGACCTGCTTATCCCCTGTGTTTCACCAAACGAGCATTGACATCACTCTGTCTCGCAGTCTGTTCCTCCTTGTTCTCAAGGACAACATCTCAGTGTCCAGCAGGTTTTGAGCTCTGGTATCTGAGGCTGCTCAGGAGCCCCTTGCTGAGGAGGCAGGGGTGGAACCTGTGCTGTCAGAGTTGTTTTTTGGGGCTCAGTCTCCCTGCAGAGAGTGCAGTGGTGCCCTGGCCTTTGAACCCCATTGATTTAATGTGTTACAGGCTGGTGTCATCCTCCCTGTTGAGGGGGGGATCAGAGCAAAATCCTGACAGTTTGCTTCTTGCCATTTAAGCAAAGCCACACGTGCCTTCGTTGGTGCCGTGTTTGGGAAGAATGCTTAACTTTTCAAGCATAAATCTGGGAATTTGAGGTCCTTCAACTGCATAGAAAGTATTGCAGAAGGTAATACGTGCAGCAGTGGGCTCTGAGCAAGGTCCTGATGAAAGAGCTCAAAGCTGCTGTGATTCTTGCTCTGTTCTCCAGCCTGGCTGCCTGGCCAGGACGGATGAGTCTTCCAGTGATTGCACGCTGTGTGTCTGGACCATCTCCATCGCCATCCTCATCTCCTTCCATCCCGAGAGCTGAAAACCTGGGCAAAGCTTTTCCTCAGACTTAGTTCAACCTTGGTTTGCACGCTTTTATAATTGAAATTAATCCCTGGAAATCCTGGGACAAAGAAGGGAGCTTCACTGAAACACAATGTCCCTTCAGGGTGGGGTTTTTTTTTCAAACTTCAGAGGAGGTGCATTTTTCTCCCCCTCTGCCCATCCCATCCCTCCCTCTGTTGCTCTCCAGCCTTCTTCCTCCTACCCAGACCTTGGGGCAGGAACACTGAGCAGTACCCCTGCCTTCCCCACCTCACTGCTGCTCCTCCTCGTGCCTCCCTTGAGCATCCCCTGCCTGAAGTGATGGAGATCCGTGGTGCTGGGGCTGTGCCAGTGCTCCCAGGATGGCTCATGGGGGCATCCTCCTCATCACAAGCTGTTGGTCAGCATTAGGGTTTGCAGGGTGCTTTGGCACCATTTGATCTGTGATGGGACCAAGTTTCCAAGGGCCCTGGGTGCTCCCTGGAACAGGCAGAAGCAAGGAAGATCCAGGTTAGCAGCTTCTTCCTCCTTGTGGCAAAGCATACAGGATTTGCTCAACCTCTAGGAGAATTCATTCCCAGTAACTCAGTTTTTGAGTTGATTTATGAAGTTTTTTGATACATGGCTCTATCAGGTGCTGCGAGCTGTGCAGCAGCCAGACCTGAGAGTGTGAGTGGAACAGGATTTTTCCATGATTTCGTTGTCAGTGATTGTGTATTCCTATGAAATCCTTTCTTTTACCTCCTCACTAAAATGCCCTTCACCCCAGAGATCCCCAGCAAGGCTCTCCTGGCAGAGAGAGGTTTCCCAAGCTCAGCAGGAATCCCGTTTAACCCCAACCACCCCAGTCCATGCGGGCTGAGCAGTTTGGATGAGTTCAGTCCCTCCAGGCCACGGTGCTGCGATGGGAGCTGTGGTGGAAAACCCAGGTTGAACCTCACCAAGCTTTTCCCCAGGCTTCAGCCGGTCCCACGTGGTGGGGGCAGCTCCCGACCCCTGTGCTTTGTCCCCTGGCAGTGTTCACCCCACGGGTCATAGGGACGGCGGTGGCTCGATACAACTTCGCGGCGCGGGACATGCGGGAGCTCTCGCTGCGGGAGGGCGACGTGGTGAAGATCTACAGCAGGATTGGCGGGGACCAGGGATGGTGGAAGGGGGAAACCAACGGAAGAGTGAGTGCATCCAGATAATATCCTGTCCCTTTTCTGCAGCATGCAGTTCTCCCCGCTGTCAGGACAGCAAAAGACATTCCCTCTTGCTCTTTCCCATTCCCTCTTGCTCTTTCCCGGATCCTGGGTGGGCTGTCATCTCATGAGAGCCACTGCTCTGTTGCCAGTTGATGCTGTGTGACAGTGACAGTGAATCCTGGTGCACACAGGTGGATGGGAGCATGCAGTGGGTGGAGGGCAATGTCTGAGTCTGCTCTTCTTCAAACCTGCATGTGGGGGATGTATGTAGGAGTGGCTCTGCCAGGGGAAGGCTCAGCGTCCCGGGAAAAGTAGCAAGCTGATGACTTGGCCTGGTGTCCCACAGTTTGTAGCTCTGGGTACAGATTCTTCATGCCCTGATCCCTTATATATTGTGGGCAACCTGTGTGTCCAAAGAAATGTATA